AGAGATTTCTTTTAGTTACGCTTTGGCAGTAACACTCACCTGTCTGTTCCCCTCCTGCATTGGAGGCTTGGTTTGCCATAACTGTATTGACTAAAATAATCTAACTTTATGTGAATATCGGATCCACAATGACAACTAGTTTAGTTTGATGCTGTCACTATTGATATAGGTGAAAAATGAAATTACCTAGAGCTCCAATTCCTTTCGAGATTAGTGCGATATCTTCAGCTTTAAATCCCGAGGTCTCTTGTGGTTTGTTTGCGGCTGAAAAATTCGGGAAGTGACTCAGAAGGAAACTTGATGTACTTAGATGACTAACGTGGATTTGATGGATTGTTCGGCTCATTGATCACTTGTCCAACTTCTTTGGCAACATTGATGAGGCCTCCCAGAAAATCTGTTCCACCGCTCTCTAAACTAATCAATTTATGTTCAATTATGAACAAATCTTCTACTCAAAAACCTACGTTGTCCGGTAGCTGCAGCTGGTTTACTGTCTGGAGTCGCTAGTCCTTCCGCTACTAAATATGGACAAAGTAGAAATAGAATATATAATTTATTTAATATAAAACAATATTTGTATAAGGGGAACCCATATAATGCAGTTTTACTTGCAAGACGCACTCGAAACGCAAATGTTTTGTTGTTATTTTCGAAACAAGGGAACATAGTCAACGTTACCCTTGTTTTGGAATAACAACGTAAGCCAAACGGTCTGGCCACAATTGATCGAAAATGACATGCAAAGTTCGATCCTATAAGATGCTTAAGTATACTAATCTATTAGATTCAGAACTAGAGCTTTTGAGTATATGCGAAGCAAAAGAATTGCTACTTGAAAATATTCAGATAGGAAGTTTTTTACATGAGAATATTGAGGATCCAGCACAATTTTTTGAACAAAAAACCAGGAGACAGAAAGAGGTACTATATTTGACGTTTTAATGGTTGGATTAAAGTGGGAAGTCCACTATCAAGTTATGATTACTCCCTCCTCTTCTCTCACTACTTTGCTCACCTGCTGCAAACATACCACCTACAGAAAGGTTAGACGCTCGTGGGATTAATGAAGTGGAATGCTTACAAGCAATCTTTATATGTTTAGAGCTTGCAATATCAGAGTCTCTCTTAACTATCATGTAGGAGTTCATATAAGAATTTCTACATTAAACTGCACGATTCTGAGTGAAAAGCCGAGTGCGATGTTTTGACGTTGAAGAAAAATAATTACATAGAAAAATTAGTGGATCACTAATGATAACAAGGAGTCAAGTGTTGATTTTTTTTCTAATGCAAGCAATTAGCGATTATTCGCTCATTTATATGTTGAAGATTATACAAGGTATACTATAGGAACAAACCTTGATTGAAGAATGAAGAGAACATGTTGAATCAGTCCTGAAAATGAAAATGTAGAGTTATCGCGAGACGCAACTACAGAAAGCGAAATTTTCGAACAATATGTATAGTTTAGTATAAATGCCTGTCTACTCAACATGGATTTGCATGATCAGAAAAAAAATTGTATTTAAAATGAGTCACATGCAATTTCAGAATTGGCGATTTCAATAGATAATCATTGAATTGATCCCGGTATTGATTATGATACTAATCATACTGTATGCAAGAGGGCTATCGCGTTATGGCGATATTATAACAAATATGTAGTGCTGGAAAGTTCGCTGCAAACGCAGAGAATACTTTTTTCTCCTAAATTATTGTATAATCGCGTGAAAAGCATTCGAAGGATTATATGCAGGAGAGTTGTTGGGAGGCCTTAATATTTTGCATAGAGAGATGAATTGGAGATAAAAATTTGGTATTGACTAGACGAAATGAACGAGATAATTTTAGAATTATAGAAATATGGTTTCAACTACTTTATCAAAGAGACTATATGAAGAAGAAGAAATATGTATTCTCATTTTAGAATTAGTGGAAGTTCTCATTAAATAGAGTTAATTGCATTGATTTCCCCCACATACTGTTTACACGCCTTATCTCAAATTAAATCGCACAACCATGTCCTTGAGATCGAGCGTACATTTCATATTTGAAC